TTGCAGTCGTAACTCTTCTTGCACTTTCTTTCAAACCCGAGGAAAACACTTCCCCCTGCTGTGGTTTCAGGTTAAGATTTCGGAATTAGAAGTTCCAGGTTTCCGCGGACTCCCGTCATCTTGTTCTGATGATGGGACAGGGAAGGAAACCAGAGAACGGGACAGAATTTCCTGTACTGAAAAGAGAATAGGCTGTCTAACAGTGCTTAGGATATCGCCCTCAGTGCTATCTGAAATACACATACACATGCATCTATATTTACCTAGATCTCACGTCATCTTTACCACAACCCTACGGCATGGATACTGTGATCATTTTTCAGCTGAAAATCTTGGGTGCCGAGGGGCTGAGGATGCCCAATGGGACCATGGACTGAATTGGGAATCCCCACGTGGTTCTAGACAGGAAAGGGGGCTCAGAGCCGTTAGGAGGCAAAGCCGGAGGTCAGTGACATCGCAGCAGCGAACCTCTGCTTTCAGGTGGCGAAAAGGTAAGAAAGTAATCGAACACGGCCAAGACTCTGGACCGTTTCTTGGGGCTTAGGGAGTGCTCAGAGGTGACCGTCCCTCTCTGTCCATTAGCGTGGAGAAACCTGAAGCATGCGAGGGACCTTTGCCCGAGGACACGCCACTGTCGTGCTGACCCCACACCTGGCGCAGGCCTCCCATGCCCGCTGAACCAGCTCTCGGAAAACCGACGTGATGGAACCAGGAGGAGCACCAGCATTTTTACCTTGCCCTGGGGCGGAGAAGGTACTTGCTGGCCTTTGGCACTGCCCCTCCCATGTAGCCTTTCGTGGAGTTGCCGGGTCCCCTCTCTCCCCAGAGCCACGAAGCCAGACACAGCTGGTTGCTGGCCCAGCCCTGCTCCGGTGGCTGTTACCAGCGTTTCCAAAAGTGGCGATTGCCCGTCTCCCTGCAGACCGTCTAAGACCCTCTGGAACAGCCTGTTTTCTCTCCTCCTTGAGCCCTTGGTGCCCAGCTCTGTGCCCCACACAGCAGCACAGGGAGGGGCAGCTCTTCAGGGCCTCGCAGGCGAGTGGAGTGAAGCTGTACCTGGTATGGAGTTAGTATTAACTGTGCGACTCTCTCACCCCCACTGCCCGGTCGAGTTCGCTGACCCTCCCTGGGCGAGGAGGCATGAAGACCCAGCGAGCCCCTCCCCGGCTCAGAGTTCTGGTTCTGGGCACGTCACCTGACCTCTTGGAGCTCAGTCTCCTCATCCCTAACGTGGAGGTGCTCATTGCTACCTGGCAGGCCCGGGGGCGGTGCCGGCGGCGGCACAGAGCCCGAGCCGTGAATGCACCCATTGTTACTCCTCCAGTCCTCAGCACCGTATCTCTTACTCTCTTGTTTATGCTGAAGATTTTTTTCCTACCACAGTGAGTAGTCACCAAAAGCCAAATGTTCCATCTGCTCCCTGTTTTTTGTTTTTCATCTGATGATTTCCTCCAGAAAAGTATTTGCCTGTCTCCCGGGTGAGTGTGTTCTGGCCAGCTCTCAGGGCCTGGGCAGAGAGCAGCCGCTTCTGCTAAAACGCCACCAGGAAGGAGGTTGGAGGGAGGAGCAGCCACACACCTTCTGTCTGGAGAGCCCTTCACAGACAAAGTGCTTCCTCTCTGCTGCTGGAGACCCAGCCACTGCAACCCGAGGAGTGGTGAGAGCCGAGACCCACCGCCAGCCCGTCTTACAAATGGGGAAACTAAGGCTCACTGAGATTGCGCAGCTTGCCGGGGGCACCCAGTGACAAGTGAAGCCAGCAGGCCTCTGACTCCGCCTCAGTGCTCCTAACACCAGGAGTCTCTTCTGGGAGAAACCTTTTTTCTTGGTGAATATCGAAGGCAGGGAAGGCTTTTCACTGTGGCCCTGGGTGTGGGCGTGGGGTCAGGGTGGCCCGGCCTGCCTTGCTTCCTGCATTTGCTGGGAGGCTCTTTCTGTGGCTTTCTCTTCCAGGGGCGCAGAGGTGAGGCCTCTGTTTCTACACTCAGCAGCAGGGTTAGTCCCAATCTTCAGTCCTTGCAAGTCCAGGGTCTTCTCCACCAGCCACCCTTACCCAAGTCTCCATTGTTCCCACATGTGAAGGATTGGGTGAGGAATTACCTTGTTTGAGCCCCAGTCTCCTCATCTGTTAATTGGAGATAATAATGCCTACTGCTCACTGTTGGGATGATGAATTCTCAGACATCTGTATTTCCATAGTGTGGGCATCTTGTGTATTATACGCCAGGAATTAGTCTGGGTGCTAGGGCTAAGCAGCAAATAAGACAGGAGGGGAGCTTACCTGCTAAAGGGGGAGGTAGGTAATAAACAATATAATAATGAACAAGAGAAGTTCCGAAGAGTAATGACTGCTATGGGGATAGATGATTGAGCATATACATGAGTATAAAAAATTATTTAAACTGAGCGAATAATCTTAATTGTCTATAAAGTTGGTGATACAGATACACAGAAAAAATAATTACTTTAGGTCATTTTAACTACAGTATTTTTATTTATACATTGCTAGTAAGATATATTCCCTGGAGAAAAAGAACAAAGAAACCTTAAATTTTATTCAGTGGCCTTATTATAATTTTTAATTCACGTTGGAAAACCACTATAAGTTTATAATTCGTTTTTCTTTTAAAAAGTAACATTTGCTAGCTCTATCCATTGAAAAGGCTTAGAAGCTGACAAACTACTAGCAATAAACTCCTAGTTTTATGGACTTTAAATGTGATTTTTCTATCAAAAGGAACCAAAATTTTATGAAGAAATGGTTGATTCCAGGTCTAGGACAAGAGATATACAGGATGAGCCTTGGATATCTTGTACAAGAAAGTAAACATTAAAGATGAATTTTAATGAGTCCACACAGTAGAACATAAGACACAGAGACTACTTGAAGGGGCTCTTGTTGGCCTGAGGACAATTTGAACATCAAAAAGGTCTAAGCATATCCATGAGCTCAAAACAATTCTAAAATGAAAATTCACATGTTACCTTTTCGCAAGTTACTGAGCCACCAATTTATTATTCTGAAATTTTATTTTTAAAATTGGGAAGAATTAAACATCTATTCCATCTTTGCTATGTAAACTGTATATATTTTAAGAGTTTTTTCAAACTGAATTTTAGAGAGAAAGGAAGGAAAAGGGAGAGAGATAGAAACATTGATATGAGTGAAACATTGATTGGCTGCCTCCCACAGGCCCCTACTGGGAATCGAGCCCTCAACCCAGGCAAGCGCCCTTATGGGGAATTGAACCAGCAACCCTTTGGTGCCAACTGAGCCACACTGGCCAGGGCATGAACTGTATTTTTGAATAATCAAATTGTTGTTAGGGGGAAATTTTTCTTTGTGGAGGAATTCCAGGTAATAAATGTAAGAAAGACTTACAGCAGTATAAAAGTCACCATGTTACAACTCCTAATGAAATAATATATCTAAGCAACAATCATTGAAAGTTGCCAAAATCACTGGGCAAAAGGTTGATGGGGAACTCTGTGATGGAAGAGTCAGGGTGCACCACCAGAATCCCCCAATTAACCCTACCCTTGCTAAAGGTGGGACATGTAAACATGGTGTGTGTCATGTGATGTGCTCCTACAAAGCTTGAATACAAAGCCCAACAAACTTGAATCTGATCCTACTGATCCTGTAGCTCTAACTATCGAGATACAGGAAATCCAAGGGGTAGAGAAAGAAATCAAACAAATCCACGAGAAAGCAATCAGTCAAGTTAAAAATGTGAAACATCCTGCAGGTCAAATAATCTGATTTCTCCACCAAATCAATGGCATTAAAATGGTGGGGGGACCCTAACCGGTTTGGCTCAGTGGATAGAGCGTCAGCCCGTGGACTCAAGGGTCCCAGGTTCGAGTCTGGTCAAGGGCATGTACCTTGGTTGCGGGCACATCCCCAGTAGGGAGTATGCAGGAGGCAGCTGATCAATGTTTCTCTCTCATCGATGTTTCTAACTCTCTATCCCTCTCCCTTCCTCTCTGTAAAAAAAAAAATCAATAAAATATATTTTTAAAAAAATGGTGGGGGGAGGAGAAACAACCTAAGTGTCCAAAAAAAAATCAATAAAATATATTTTTTAAAAAATGGTGGGGGGAGGAGAAACAACCTAAGTGAACACCAATGGATGAATGGATAGAGAAACTGTGATACATAGTTTGCCACTGCGATTCAGTTAAGCATCTTCAGGTGGGGGGATAGCCTGGACCATCCGGTGAGCCTAATCTAATCACACACGTAAGTGATGCAGGAAGGAGGCCAGGACCCAAAGAATGTGGGCAGCTTCAAGCTGGAAAAGGCAAGGAAACAGATATTCCCCTAGCGCCTTTAGAAAGGAACCCAGCCCTGCCAACACCTATAAAATAGTCAATTTATATTCTTTTAAGTCACTAAGGTTTGGGTAATTTGTTACAGTCGTTATAAAAAAAACTAATGCCTATGGGATCTGTTTTAAAATGCTTTAGGAAAACAGTGGTGGAGGATAGATGAAAGATGTGGACACTGGGAGATGGGTACTATGAGATTCATTATACTAGTCTGTCTACCCTTATGTTTGAAAATTTCCCTAATAAAGGGGTTTTGAAAAACTACAGGTGTCAGGAGAGAGTGGGCAAGGGGAGAAGGAGAGGGTTTAAAGGACAGGGTGGGAGGCCAGTTTTGTGGTGCAGCCTGAGGTGGAGGGCTCACCAAGAGTGACACGTGGCGTGGCTTGGAGGCGTGGCTCCCAGTCACCAGCTTGATGCTGCGTGCTCTCCATGTGGACTGAGCCAGACATAAAGGACTCTTTCTAGGCCAGTGATGGCGAACCTTTTGAGCTCGGCGTGTCAGCATTATGAAAAACCCTAACTTAACTCTGGTGCCGTGTCACATATAGAAATTTTTTGATATTTGCAACCATAGTAAAACAAAGACTTATATTTTTGATATTTATTTTATATATTTAAATGCCATTTAACAAAGAAAATGAGTTCGCGTGTCACCTCTGACACGCGTGTCATGAGTTCGCCATCACTGCTCTAGGCTGATACATGTCCCCAAGCCGGACGCCAGGCTCGGCCCCTGCTGGTGAAGGCACCACGCGGGCCCCCTGGCCGGCTTGTGTGCAGGGCACAGCCTGTGCAAGTCACCAGAACTGAACAGCCAGACGCCTCATTCCAATGGGGCCTGTGCCCACTGAGGACAGGACACGTAGGGTTCAGACTGGGTGGCGAGAAAGCCGCAGGGACAGTGTGCGTGAGGACATGCGGACAGGCCTCCTTCAGGCTTCCCTTCCCCTGTCCCCAGAGTTTGAACTTCTGGTCCCTTGCCATTCAGTGCTACCAAGGGGACTCAGGTGAGTGGGAGGAAAGCCATGTCTTTCTCCAGCAGCTGGAACAGGTGGTTCTTCTCTGGAAGACAAATGCGGGTGACAAACAGAAAAAGGCCAGCAGGGGATCAGGTCCCATAAAAGCACACACGGACAGCGTGCCCTTCTGTGACACAGGCTCGCAGTGATGGCAGACCCAGCGCATGAGACGTGCCCTGGGCAGGGACACACGTGGCCCTCAGAGCTGTAGGCAAGGCGCAGGCCTGCAGACTTCTGGGGTCTCTCTGGAGCCTGCTGGCAAATGAGTGATTTTACTGTTTCTTGCTTCTCAGCACCACTGACATCACCACTATAAGTTGGGGAATCACAACCACATTTCAAAGAATCATTCAGTTTGCTCATTAAGATTCTATAGGAATTTCCCCCCCACAGCAGCAGCCTTGCCAAAACAATGTTAAGAATAGGCCTGGTAATACTTTTCACATTTGTCAGCAGTCATGAGCGTTTAACAGGGTGTATGTCCAGCAGATGCATACAATTTCGGAATCAGGCACTGGATTTTACACAGTAACTCGGAGGATGTGGATTGGCCAAAAGAATTCTTTAAAAAATGAAGCAAAACACACACCTTGGGCATGGGTTACCCGGGGGAAGCGAAACGTGTTCGCCACTTCATCTTGTGGGAGAGTGTTCGATGCAGAGGATATCAGGAGTAAAATATGTGTGTGAAATTAAATTCAAAAGTGATTAAATCTGGACATTTTGCTTCAGTCAGCTCCTACGGTAAATTCCCCCAATCCAAGGGCCTGAATTCTAAGCATGGAATTGTTTGTGACACGGCGGCGCCCTGTGCTTGTCTGGGCTGCAGCCGGTTGGAAAGGGTCCCGGTCTGGGTGCAGCTGGGACGCGGTCAGGGTCAGAAGTCTCCTTGCTGAGCAAATGGACGGAGTCCGACAGCCTGGAAGTTTTCAGCCAGGTAAGATAAGGCCCGCGGAGAACGAGACGCTACCTAAAAAGAGGTAATGAAGTAAAACTTAATTATAATGATTAAAAAAACCTAAGTACCACACATTAGTAACTTTATTTGGGGAGTGTCCGTAGCGAGTTCCAAATAAACCGCTGGCTGCCAGCGTCTGGGCTGCGAGCACTGGCCTAATTGGCCTGTAAAGAATCCTTCCAGGCCGGGCCCTCGACGTCCTGGAAGCAGAGAAAATGGGCCTCGGTGCCTCTGGAGGCTGGAGACATGGATGTTTCCTGAGCCCCCAGCTCCACTCTTTGTTAGTAGTTGGAACTGACCAACGGATGATAAAGAATTGATGGCTCTTAACTGTAACCATAACGTTCTAATTTAGCCTCGGCTGGGACTTTTTAATCGCCAGAGGTACATCTACAAACGGAATTTTTCTTGCTTTTTGGGCAATCACGTAGATGGAGATTAACCCTCTTCTTCCCCCAGGCCCTAAACATTATTTTGACCGAAATGTTGAAGTCAGGGGTTTCGTGTAGACACAGCTTAAATGAGTCATTAAGAATTTTATTGGTTAGAGTAGGCATATTTTTTCCTAGTAGACATAATGACATAACAGTAATAAAAATGTAATATTCAAGTAATTGCTGTAATGTAATTATAGCTTGGTCATAAAGTAAGATTAGAGGTCTGGGATGGCTGTTCTGTGGGTGTGTGTTTTAACGTCTGAATGCAGTCTCCGAGGTGCCTGTCCCGTCTCCCGGGGCTGCTGGTGCAGTCAGTTCAGCACATACCCAGGTGGCCGGGAGCCCAGCTGAGCCAGCACTATCTGGGCGTCCTGTTTACCCGGTCTGCCCTCGCTGGACACTGGCATCCTGCCTGCCTCGGATACCTCATCATCGCAGTAACTGAATACA